TGTGAGAGAGAGAGGATTATACCAGAGAACAGATTATTCGGTTGGTGAACGTTGTACACATCCACTTTATGTTTTAAGATTTCCTGCATATTTCAAAGACGAGATCTGCTTGAGGCATTTCCAAATAACTCTATTTCATTTGCAATGACAGCAACCGGATCTTCAGTTCATCATCATGCAAATATTTGATAAAAAAAAATTAATTAGTTTATACCTCCCCAGGAGCCTCAATTGCAGCTAAATCTAACCACTCATCAGAAAATGGAACAGCATTTGGAGGCTTTACAATTATAGGATCATGTTTCTTCTCATCCCTGTCGAAACAATAAAGCATCAGCTCATTCTTAAACATAAAATGTGCTAGAGGAATAGGAAAAGCTTACTAGTGGAGACTGGATTAGATTACTTACTGTAGTATCATGCTGCTACTGCTTTCAGAAGCATGGCCTCAGCACATTTTGCTCGTTAGGCTGCATAACATCTCCAAGTAAGAAAGCCTCACTCATGAGTACTACATGCCGCTCGTCCAACCTGTATAAAGTTCCGAGTTTTCTAATCAAAACACTGAGATTACATATCAAATTCTCGATATTGAAGATATTAGAAAGTGGCTTTATGTGACTGAAATCCGGCTGATTATGTACTCACCAGCTTGTTGTTATTGTACTCATGAAAAGCTGTGATCCATTGGTGTATTGACCGGCGTTTGCCATTGATAGCAACCCTGTGAATAAATGAGTGTATGTAAGCTTTCAATTCAAGGTAGATACACTGCTGTGCCAAGATGTGATGGCGAAAAAAAGGCTGTAATATATTCAACTGACTTGGGATAAAAATGAGCAATATTTTGTTTGCATACCTGTGCACAAAGCTCGGAAATTCTCTGCAGGAACAAAAGTTTCAGCAAGTAAGTCCTCTTTAAAATATCTCGCTCGTACCTGAGCTAGCAATCAAGAATCAATGATACAGGAAATGTGTCCAGCGTTACGGGTACCTGCAGTTTTGGGGACTGTCTTGCCATATAGACCCATGACAATACGACCTGGACAAAAAACATCAATCGGTATGAGACGTTTTCAGGGAAAAGCAATGGAAAATGCAATAACAAGAAAAGAAGAAATCACAAAGAATTTCATGTAGCCTAGCATATAGCACAAGTACTAAGTGCACTAAGATGCATCATAAGAATAGGAACAAGGTCATACCAGCTTCTTTTCCATCAATTTTGACATCAAAGTAGACCTTGTGTGTGATCTCCTTTAAGTTCTCCTTGGGCTTTTTGCAATCGGGAAATGGACCATCATCTTTACCTGCTCTTTCATTTCTGCTCAAGACATCTAGTTCCTGACTACCCTCTTTTCCCTCAAGGACTGATTGGCACGAGAAATGCTCTTCAGATTGTCTAAACCAGTATTTGCAATCGGGAAATGGACCAGTGAAATCAGCCTCACCGTTTGTCTCTGTGATATTGCTTACTTCAGTTATCTTCTTTGTTTCCACTACAGCTTTACCATCACACACACCTAATGCTTCCTCTCTGGCCGCAAATGCAACAGGATCAGGAGAGATCTTTGTAACTTGATCAGTAACGTGAGCACCGAGACCCTCTTCAGCGTTGTAATGCTCGATAAGTCCAGAAGTGGAATCCTCTTTCGACATGGTTCCAAAGACTCTGGACAAATTTGTCTCCTCATTTAGAAGCTCAGGATCTCCGAATAGTGAAGGCGAGGAACTCGTTGATACACTTAGTATAGTTGTCCTTTTTCCACACAGATCTGAGTCAGTAACCAGATCCACCTCTTTCAGCTCTGAGTCATCTTCAAGTGATGCTTCACTTATCTCCTCTGTATAACTGCTATTGCTTTCAGAGGCATGGGCTCCATTGCTTTCTGATATCAGAATGTCATTGCTCAGCACACTATCTTCTTCATGAGGCTCGGGTTCTTGATCAGTATTTGTCTGGACTTTAGGTTTGTTATGCTCGATACATCGAGAAGTTGAATCCTCATTAGACATGCCTTCAGAGACTCTGTACACAACTGTATCCTCATTTAGAAGCTCAGGAACTCCAAATAGAGAAGGCCAGGAACTGACTGATTCCCTTAGCATACTTTTATTCTTATTCTTTCCCCACAAGTCCAAGTCAGTATGGATAGTCTCTACTTCCAGATATTCTTGACTAAGAATGCCCTTGACAGAAAACTCATCAAGGTCACTCATGAGCTCTGGCTCAGCAACCAGATTCCCCTCTTTCAGATCCAAATTACCCTCAGACTCCTCCTCTGAACAATCTGACTCAGTAAACAGGTCCATATCTTCCAGCTCTGAGTTATCTTCGAGAGAAAAACAATCTGCAAGTTGATCCGTCTGTTTTATTACTTGATCAGCCTTTACATCAGATGTATTTGCGACACTCGAATAGTTGCATTGCTTATGCTTTTCAGAGGTTATCATCAGAGAGGAAGGCTTATGAGATAACTCCGGAGGCTTATAAGGCGTTAGCATACTCACTTGTTCGATGTTTTGTTCAACACCAGGAGAACCAGCAAAACAGTAGATATGCATATCAGGACCATCATCTTTATCTGCTCTTTCTAGTACAGCTTGACCATCAAACACCATGTTATGACCACACAGAATAGAGTTCGACTCTGCATTTTTCTCAAGATGGTTGCATCGTGATTGAACTCCATGGTGATTGAACTCCGTGAACACACAAAAGAGAAACAAAAAAAAAGGAAAAAAAGACGGAAAAGAAAAATGAAGAACCCGACATGGTTATTGCCGGCGAGTAGCCCTGACCCCTATCAGCCCTACGACAAAAGCCCCATATACACGTTGTCAAAAACTCTTTGTTCACAATTTCTCTCTTCTCTTTTTCCAAATTCAATACGGTTTTTGATCCTCCCGAAACTTCAAACTTCAAGTTGCCAAAATTAAAACCAAATTGCAATTGATTAGAAGATTCACCAACTGAACTCTTCGGCTCCAATTTTGTTTTAGAAACCACCTGAGAAGCAATCGAAACCCTAATCAGCCATTGAAAACACAATTCAAAACCTAAACAGAGAG